CGGAATGTGTGTAGGTTGCGAAGCTTGTAACACGTTGCTTCCATAGGTAGGCGTGTAGACGGCACTCATCGGTCCATGTCGTAGGCCACGTGGTTTTGCGGCATAGCCATACAAGCATAGCTTGGCTGTGGGTTCATGGTAATGCCCAGGCTTCCGGGTATAGTGGGCACCGGCTTGTATGGCATTTGACACAAGCCGTTCACGGAACATTGTTTGGGGCGTTCGACATGGTCGCGGTGGTAGCAGTCGATAAAAACAAGGGCGAGGGCTCTCCCTGCGTTGCGGCTGAATATTGCATATTGAAATTTGAGATTTGCTCGACGGGTAGTGTTCCTGCTGTAAAAGGCGTTTGCACATTGCTAGCATGTGCAGGCGGGAGTACACTTTCCTCTATAACGGCACCATCGAGATTCTGCAAGTCGGGCAAATTGTGTTAGTAAATGGCCGTCGCATATAAATGTCGGCAAAGTATTTTAGATTGTTGGCGACTGAGCAAATAAAACACGTATTTTGAGCCGTAGCACGTACAAATGCTTTATATTCGACAGTTATAATGCTTTCATACGTTTGTGCTAAAATCTAAGGTTTTGCATGTTAGGAATCCATTTCTTAATACATTTCAATATGAATACTTAACTTGTGCTCCTTGTGGATCGAGGTTCACTCCGCCAACGAAATAAAAGGAAAGACAAATTTAGCGCTAACAACTTGACAGAAAGAGCGCTCATGTCAGCGGCTGAGAGACATACATCCACAAGGTTGCAATTTATGGTACAAGTTTATTAAACTAGAAACTTTAGGCTGCACAGACTTATTGCGCGCTAACAGTGCTATTAATATGCACACACAAGGCGGGTACAGTACACTTTCAGAGATTTTACTACGCGCCGAACAACCTTCGCTCTCTGATGCCAAAATCCGAATGTCGATGTCATTCAATAGAGAATCTAATTCTATTTAATTTGATATACATATGCTATATATACCTTTTATAGTTTTAACAAAAATCGAATTAATGTTGGGAAAAAGTATACAGTGCCTTGGCTGGTGCCACTTTAGGGCATGTTCAGGCCTGCGCACCACGCGAGATTGGACGAGGAACTTCGAGGGCCCGTGTTGCGCAGCACGGTCGCAAACTTCAACCACGACGCCACCCACCACCACCACACCAGCGCACACAGCCAATGGCGTCACGGCCACACACATCACTCACACCCCGCATTACCACACGTCTCCCGAACCACATGAAGCTCCTTCAATTTAACTGCAACTGCTTCAGAGCAAGATCGAGGAGATAACCGTCTTTATGGGAAGGCATGGTATACTGATAGCTGCGGTCCAAGAGGAGAAGCTGCACAGCAATTCAACATTGTTGAATTGTGCCGGGTACAACGTGCACCGTCGAGATCGCGAGCGAGATAATGGTGGTGGCGTAGCGTTCATCACGCACCACACCGTGCAGTATCGTCTTATCGAAGCAGACATCGACCGCAGGGATACCACCCTAGAATGTCAGGGCATTGCTATCCTGTCAGGCGATGTTGAGCTCGAAATATTCAACGTTTACATACCCCCTGTCACCTGCTGCCCGGCAGGATATCACCCTGAAATAGGTGCGCTACTCAGAGGTGAAAACCGTATGGTAGTTGGTGACTTTAACGCGCACCACGATCTCTGGCACTCAAGCCTGTCAAACGATCGTAGGCGAACCGATTTGGCTGAGCAGATAGACGATTCGACATTCTGCACAATAAACGACGACGCACCCACCAGGATTATGGGCAGCTGCTGCAGCTCGCCAGACATAACAATAGTCAGCGCTGGTCTGATAAACAGCATATCATGGCGACCTAAGCTGACTTTGGCATCAGACCATCCGCCCATAGTCATCTCGATCGATAAACCAACCGACTTTGCTTCCGCTTAGCACCGAACATATATCAACTTCTCCAAAGCTGATTGGAAAGGCTTCGCGGAATTTATGAAAACACCTTCGCTGCTCTCCCCACACCAACCAACGTGCACCTTGGTGAACGTAAGCTCCGCAGGGCTGTCACTGCCGCTGCAGCCCACTTCGTACCGGCAGGATGCATCACTGACCCACGTCCCAATTTCCCTGCCGAAGCGGCTGTCCTAGCCGATGAGCGTGACAGCCTCGCTAGGCCGATCCCGGTGATCCCCGTGTCAGGGATCTCAACGCGGAGATTCGGCAACTAGTGAACGTTAATAAGCGGAAGAAGTGGGAAAAACATCTGAAGACCTGCAACTTCACCTCTGGTGTGAGTAAGCTTTGGTCAACCGTGAGGTCACTGTCCAATCTGACGAAGCACGACGACAGAGTCTAAATTTCTTTCGGCGACCATGCCTCGACGGACCCGGAGCGATGCGCGAGCTACTTTAGCCGGCAGTTCATACTGCATCCGCCGGTGGACAAAACCAAGCGTCGAGTGACCAGAAGGCTGCACAAACTGCCAACAAATTGTGCCCCCGTTGCTTTCACTTGCGGTGAAGTTCAGGTGGCCATCGGGAAGGCGCAAGCCTCCACAGCCATGGGTCCCGACGGAGTATGCATGCTGATGCTGAAAAATTTGGGTCCTGCGGGAGTAGCGTACCTAACGGAGGTCCTCAATTTGTCTATGGCCACTCTCATCATCCCAGACATCTGGAAGGTGGGGAGAGTGGTCCCACTGCCCAAACCGGGGAAACCTGCCAACAAAGGAGATTCGTATCGACCGACAACGCTCCTTTCCCCGGTAGCGAAGACACTTGAGGCCCTGCTGCTCCCGTATTTCACGAACCACCTGACCCCAGCGAAGCATCAGCATGGTTTCCGTAAAGTGCACAGTACAACAACAGCACTTAACGCCATAAACACTCAGATAACTCGTGGCCTTAACCGTAACCGTCCCTGTGAGAGAACGATTCTAGTAGCGTTGGACCTGTCAAAGGCTTTTGACACTGTCAGCCATTCCACGCTAGGCTCAAACGGTGGTAGGCAAATTATCTGAGTGGTCGACACTCGTTGGTAATGTTTAGAGACAAATCCAGCAAACTTAGGAAAATCAAACAGGGGGTTCCACAGGGTGGTGTCCTATCCCCGTACTGCTTAACTTTTATATTTCAAAGCTTCCTCAACCACCTGAGGTAGTCTCGGTTGTCTCCTACGCCGACGATTGCTCGATCATGGCGACTGGGAATGGAATTGATGAACTGTGTTCGAAAGTAAACGGGTATCTCTCCGATCTTTCTCACTTCTTCACTGCAAAGTGTCTAGCCCTCTCCCCTACGAAATCCTCTGCGACCTTGTTCACCACCTGGACGAAGGAGGTCAGGCTACCGCTGGGAATTCACGTCGATGGCACACCAATTCCGACGGTGAATAACCCCAAAATACTCGGAGTAACATTCGACAGCCTGCTCTCCTTCTCTGCGCACGCAACCGCTATTGTCAATAAAGTACAGAGCCGCAACAAAGTCCTCAAGTCTCTAGCCGGCAGTACCTGGGGCAAAGACAAAGAAACGTTGCTGGCAACATACAAGGCAATAGGCCGGCCGGTTTTAAACTACGCAGCACCAGTGTGGTCGCCGGGGACTAGTAGGACGCAGTGGATGAAGCTACAGACAGCACAGAACACCGCACTCAGGACAGCGATAGGATGCCTCTTGATGTCGCCTGAACACCACCTGCACGGCGAGGCGCAAATGCTCCCGGTAAAGAAGCATAATATAATGCTCTGCAAGCAGTTCCTGATCGGGAGCCACAGATGCGGCCACCCAAACAGACAGCTGCTTGCAGAGAAGCCCTCGCCTAGACACGTCAGGAGGCATCTATATGAATTGACGGACGAAGTCCAGAGATTCATTAAGCAGCTTCTGGACCCGTCAGCATACCAACAGGCCCTGAACGGCATTCAGAGGGACTCAGTCTCGAGTTATGTAGACTCTAGACCTATGAATGCCGTTCTAGGCACACAAACACCGGGCATTGACGCGACGGAGCTCCATATGCCTCGGGAGATATGAACAACAATAGCCCAACTTCGCTCTGGCTACTGCAGCAGGCTGAACTCTTACCTGAGTAGGCTAAATGCGGATGTGCCGAATGAATGTCCGGCATGCGGAGAGACCCCTCACGACTCGAAACATCTCTTCGCATGCCCGGAAAACCCCACAACCCTAACGGCGCTGTCCCTGTGGACCGACCCCATTTAGGCTGCACGCTTCTTCGGGCTGCCGTTAGTTGAATTCGACGACAATGACTGAGATACCAACCGATCTGGGCGGGGTTGTTGTAGCCGCTACAACAACAACATCACCTTTCTGGGTAGGCGGCCTTCGGCCGCACTTAGCGATTATAACCCTCACAATGTAGAATTCTCTTTCTGCAGAATTGTCTTTTGCAGAGAACACCTTTCTGCGTAGGCCGCAGTTATGGATTATAAAATGTATATGTATAAACCCTACAATAACAGTGATAGTCATTTGATTGATGATGTGATACTCCCTGGTGATGGTGATCTCAATCAAGTACTTTTTAAGGACAATATGAAAAACATGTGATCATCCGTCTTCCTCCAACTTATGGCCTTATTTAATGGTCTCTTTTTAACCAACGCAAAATTTGCAAATGTGTTAGTAAGATAATTGAGAATGTGTTAGTTTCCATCACACAATTCTTTTAGGGAAATATGTAACAAATTAAAGATAATTAAATTCTCTATCGAATGACATTAAAATTTTCTAAATCCATGAAGTGGTTTTCGAGAAATATTTATTTAAAAAATGCTTAATTTGAACTTTGACCTTTAACAATTGTTGTAGATGTGGTTTCCCGCCGCCCCCTCCCCAAAAAAAATACCGCTACGCTCACCTCAATGATCTCTATCGATCCCCATATGAATTTTTCGAATTTGACAGTTGTAGAATTGCTCTGCATTTATGCCAGGCGATTTCTTAAAAGTTATCTTCTACTAAAGGTACGTTTTCTTTTGATATTTCAGCTCGTGGAGCTGCTGTAAATGTAGCAAGCCAAGGTGCTGCTGGGGCTAATGGCAAGGTATGTGCATATTATATTCATACGCAGGCTTTATGTTTGCTTAAACAAATTATTTTTTGTTACGTAATGCATTAGATTGTTGCTGTCATAGGCGCTGTTGTTGACGTGCAGTTCGATGATGACTTGCCACCCATTTTAAACGCACTGGAGGTAGAAAATCGTGCTCCACGCCTTGTGTTGGAAGTAGCTCAGCATTTGGGCGAAAACACTGTGCGTACTATTGCTATGGATGGTACGGAAGGTTTGGTACGTGGACAAAAGGTTCTAGATACTGGCTACCCGATCCGTATCCCTGTTGGCGCTGAGACATTAGGACGTATTATAAACGTCATTGGTAAATAGAATAATATATCTTTATTATAAGAGTAAAATGAAGAAAATTAATAGAAAACTCATTACATACATACACATATACACTGGCGGTCAAAACTGGATTCAGGCTGTTTTTTAATATATGCAATGGTTTGGTACCGTTTACATATTTGCCAATGATTTCGGGGCATTGTGTTCAAATGAATGACCCGATCCTTTTGAAGACAAGGGTCTAATTTTTATTTTAAAATAAAATTTTATAATTTCTGTGCACGAATTTTTTAATAAATTCAGTGTGAATAATGCATTTTTTTTTGTAAATATCAGTATTAAGCGTGCATTAATTACTCTTAAAACTGGTGTCACGAATTTTTCAAATTGAAATTTGGTAATTGTCTAGTTTAGGCGGCAACTGCAAAAAAAAGACCAAAAATATCGGAAAGGGTACCAATCGACGCGTTTTGGTCTCTGTATCATGAATCCGGAAGGTTAATCTTAACCAATTAAAAGTTATAAACAAAAAACATTTGAGGGATTCACAACGGTGTCGTAAGTGTCATGTTGGTTTATGTCGTAAACTTTAAAAGCTTAAAAAATGTTTAGAGAGCTTGAAACCTCAACCAACTATTTTTTAGCACTGTGAAAATGCTAATATGACTTGGATGGTACTTTGCGAACCCCCATAATATATTTTTTTAGGCGTTTACAGTTTAGGACATACAACAAAATGACACTTCAGTGAAAATCTTTCCAAGTGAGCCACCCAAAATTGGACGGTCAAGATTTTTTCGCACAAATCACTTTATTCGGTTTACAACCAGGGAAAATTTTAAAATGGTAACCCCGGAGTACGGGATTAAGGAAAATAGGGGGGCGTAGAGGGGGTGCTAATAGTTTTCTATGTAAAGTTCCAAAGCGCGGAACCTTACAGTTTTTAAGTCATTTCTTGTTAAAATTTGTAAATTTAACAAACTTTTATGGCACTATTTCACTAATTTTACACGTTATTTACACTCAACATATGTACAGTTAGAGTGTTCACGACCAAAAAAATAAATACTTTTAGGATATTACAGCTTTTTTATGAAAAACTCATTGTTAAATTATTATGAGAGTACGTGCAGAATATTTGCAAAAGACAGCAGTACTGTTTGCCACATCTAAAAACCAACCTTTTAAACTTTATACAGACAACTATTAGGCCCCCCTCTACCTCCCATATTTTCCTTTAATCCGTACTCCGGGGTTACCCTACAACCACAAAAAAATATAATTTGAGCAATTTCGCAAAATTCTAAGTTTTACAAGAGTTACTGTTATTAACTTTTTTTGATGAGCTCAGTAATTATTTATTATCCACTGATTCATAGCATGTATCTTGCTGATTTTTTTCATGAAAGTTAATAGACACGCTTTAGCCTGATTGTTTCAATTTTTCAAATAATCATTATTTTGTACAAAATTTTAAATTTTTATAAATATTTTGCATAAACAAATGGAAATATTTATTACTTCTCGATCAGATTTTTTAACCGTTTACATTGAATATCAATCCTTATTCTATAATACAGTGCTGCGAATATAAACTCATAACATTTTTATTGATGTTTTTATGCATAACCAAACTTTTTTAAAAATCACTGAAAGGCTAGTAAGTTATATCAAGATAACTTTTACACTCACAAGTAATTCACTTCAAATTAGAATTTACTGTTACTTTAAACCAAAAACGGCAAATTTGAGCTTTATTTATGAGAATAATTATAAACTCGTCAAATAAATTTTGCTCAGATAACTGTTCCAAGTTTACTTTTTCGAGTTGTTTGGCCGTTTATCCATTTGAGCATTTTAGTCACGACAGTTAGAAAGCAGACGCGTTAGTTCGTTTTAAAAGCATCGCAGTATTGCACGTCACAAGAAGAACCTCAATATGCCACGTGGAAATAATTAAATGAAATTAAAAAACAAAGAATAATTGACTTAAGAAATTGTGGGAAAACACAGAGAGAGATCGCTAGTGAAATAAACAGATCGCAATGTGTTGTGAAAAACTTTTTGAGGTTAGGTCGTGAATATTATGGGAAGGTTAAGCGGACAGGACGACCGAACGGTTCTACGTACCGGAATGACTCGGGTTTTACCCGACCAAGGGCTGTTGTTTCGGCGATCTAACCCCGTTTAGGTCGGCAAAGTATCTCAGAAGTTGTTCGTCCATAGGGCTACATTCGCTACGTTTTCTCCTACTCAGGGCTGCCATCGAGTCAAACCCAGGGCCAGAAACCTACACCTGCTGTGTATGCCAGAGACGACTACACCACAACTCCACCTCTGTCAAGTGCAATGCTTGCGAGGGGTGGAGTCACCTCAGAGTCTTCTCAGGACTACGGACACATCGGCAGTGGACCACGTCTTTTGTGGCCCCCTGTTGCTCTAACAGAGCAGCCTCCACAGCTAACCCCAGTCCACCTGAGCAGTCCCACACAAACACCACAGCATAACAACATAACACAATAGACCACGCCACAACGGCTACAGACCACAGAACACACACAACCACACCACCACCCACACGCCGCCGCCAACAACTCCTGTTTCCTCCTACAATCTGCACGGTATGTCAGACCAGGATATTCCGTAATGTGACATCAGTCAAGTGCAACACCTGCCTTGGCTGGTGCCACTTTAGGGCATGCTCAGGTCTGCGCACCACGCGAGATTGGACGAGGAACTTCGAGGGCCCGTGCTGCGCTGCTCGGTCGCAGACCTCAACTGCGACGCCTCCCGCCACCACCACAGGGCAGCGCACACAGCCAACTGCGGCACGACCACACACATCCCTCACACCCCGCATCACCACACGTCTCCCGAACCACATGAAGCTCCTTCAATTTAACTGTAACGGGCTTCAGAGCAAATCGAGGGGATAACCGTCTTCATGGGAAGGCATGGCATATTGATAGCTGCGGTCCAAGTGACGAAGTTGCACAGCAATTCAACACTGTTGAATTGTGCCGGGTACAACGTGCACCGTCGAGATCTTGAGCGGGATAATGGTGGAGGCTTAGCGTTCATTACGCACCACACCGTGCAGTATCGTCTTATCGAAGCAGACATCGACCGCAGGGATACCACCCTAGAATGTCAGGGCATCGCTATCCGGTCAGGCGATGTTGAGCTCGAAATATTTAACGTTTATATACCGCCTGTCACCTGCTGCCCGGTGGGATATCACCCTGACATAGGTGCGCTCCTCAGAGGTGAAAACCGTATGGTAGTAGGCGACTTTAATGCGCACCACGACCTTTGGCACTCAAGCCTGTCAAACGATCGTAGGGGAACTGACTTGGCTGAGCAGATAGACGATTCGACATTCTGCACAATGAACGACGACGCACCCACCAGGATTATGGGCAGCTGCTGCAGCTCGCCAGACATAACAATAGTCAGCGCTGGTCTGATAAACAGCATATCATGGCGACAATGCTGACTTTGGCATCAGACCACCTGCCCATAGTCATCTCGATCGATAAACCAACCGACTTTGCTTCCGCGGAGCACCGAACATATATCAAGTTTTCAAAAGCTGATTAGAAAGGCTTCTGAAAGCTGAAAACACTTTCGCTGCCCTCCCCACACCAGCCGACGTCCACCTTGGTGAACGTAAGTTCCACAGGGTTGTCACCGCTGCTGCAGCCCACTTCGTACCGGCAGGATGCATCACCGACCCACGCCCAAATTTCCTTGCTGAAGTGGCTATTCTATCCGATGAGCGTGACAGCCTTCGTCAGGCCGATCCCGGAGATCCCCGCATCAGAGATCTCAACGCGGAGATTCGGCAACTAGTAAACGTACACAAGCGGAAGAAGTGGGAAGAGCATCTGAAGACCTGCAACTTCACCTCTGGTGTGAGTAAGCTTTGGTCAACCGTGAGGTCACTGTCCAATCTGACGAAGCACGACGACAGAGTCGAAATTTCTTTCGGGGACCATGCTTCGTCGGACCCGGAGCGATGCGCGAGCTATTTTAGCCGGCAGTTCATACTGCATCCTCCGGTGGACAAAACCAAGCGTCGAGTGACCAGAAGGCTGCACAAACTGCCAATAACCTGTGCCCCCCTTGCTTTCACTTGCGGTGAAGTTCGGGTGGCCATCGGGAAGGCGAAAGCCTCCAAAGCCATGGGTCCCGACGGAATATGCATGCTGATGCTGACAAATTTGGGTCCTGTGGGGGTAGGTACCTAACGGAGGTCCTCAATTTGTCCACGGCCACTCTCATCATCCCAGACATCTGGAAGGTGGGGAGAGTGGTCCCACTGCTCAAACCGGGCAAACCCGCCAACATAGGAGATTCTTACCGTCCGATAACACTCCTCTCCCCGGTAGCGAAGACACTAGAGGCCTTGCTACTCCCGTATTTCACAAACCACTTGACTTCAGCGAAGCATCAGCATGGTTTCCGTAAAGTGCACAGTACAACAACAGCACTTAACGCCATAAACACTCAGATAACTCGTGGCCTTAACCGTAAATGTCCCTGTGAGAGAACGATTCTAGTAGCGTTGGACCTGTCAAAGGCTTTTGACACTGTCAGCCATTCCACGCTACTAGAAGATATTGAGGGTTCCTCTCTCCCACAGAGGCTCAAACGGTGGTCGGCAAATTATCTAAGTGGTCGACACTCGTCGGTAATGTTTAGAGACAAATCGAGCAAACTTAGGAAAATAAAACAGGGGGTTCCACAGGGTGGTGTCCTTTCCCCGCTACTGCTTAACTTTTATATTTCAAAGCTCCCTCAACCACCAGAGGGAGTCTCGATTGTCTCCTACGCCGACGATTGCTCGATCATGGCGACTGGGAATGGAATTGATGAACTGTGTTCGAAAGTAAACGGGTATCTCTCCGATCTTTCTCGCTTCTTCACTGCAAAGTGTCTAGCCCTCTCCCCTACGAAATCCTCTGCGACCCTTTTCACAACCTGGACGAAGGAGGTCAGGCTACCGCTAGGAATTCACGTCGATGACAC